CCTCCCACCCCACAGGATGCAGCAGCGCTGTGACACTGAGGCTGCTGGCACTGCTGGGACGTGGGCAGCTGCTGACCCGCCTCAGCTCTTACCTGCTCATGTTTATTGATTGCCAGGACCATTCTCCTGAGCGTCATCTCACTGCTGAATGAACCCAACACATTTTCTCCAGCCAACGTGGACGCCTCGGTGATGTACCGCAAGTGGAAGGAGAGCAAAGGGAAGGATCGGGAGTACACGGACATCATCAGGTGTGTGCTGAGCTGAGCCCAGGCCCAGCAGTGCTGTCCAGAAGACTTGCTAAGCTGTGACCTCGTAGGACACAGAGGGTGGCAGGATCTTGAGGACGTATCTTGCCCTGTTGGATCCCATCTGCAGGGTGGTAGGAGAGAAGGACTCTGGCTCCGAGTGTGGCTTTTGGGAGAAGCTTGGCTGAGTGATGTGCCCAGCTTTGCTCTCAGCCTGAGCCCTGGCCCCTTTCGTCTCCAGAGCTGAGGGTCTGTGTTCGTAGCATGGTGCCAGCTCAGCCTTGCTGTCAGGGCTGTCCCATGGCACTGGCACGTGAAGCTCCTGAGCTGCAGGAGTTCTCCAGGGTGCTCCCCCTCCCCTGCCCTCTCACCAGTCTCTTGTGGGTGAGCGATAGTGGGAGGGGAAGGGCAGGGCTGTGTCACCACGTGTCCCCTTGGGGTGAACAGCACACGATGATGTGGGGTGCTGTGCAAAGCTCTGTCCTCACCCCCACTTCTTGCCCTCCAGGAAGCAAGTCTTGGGCACGAAGGTGGACGCTGAGCGGGATGGCGTGAAAGTCCCCACCACGCTGGCAGAGTACTGCGTGAAGACCAAGACTCCAGCCCCAGATGAGGGCTCAGACCTCTTCTATGATGACTATTATGAGGATGACGAGATGGAGGAGGAAGCAGACAGCTGTTACGGTGATGAGGATGACTCCGGCAATGAGGAATCTTGATGGCCCTCTGACATTGCAAAACTTCTTATAAACTACTGAATTTTACCTCAACTAGGACACACTGGTTTGAACTTAGGATCTGTCAGCCCTGAAATTAACTCTCTACCTCGCAGGGAGACTGTTCTGCTGTTGCAAAGGAAATCCCACTGCTGACTTTGTAGAAAAAGCAAAAAAACAACCCAGAAACAAACCCTATTTTATAAACTTCCTGGGTGGTGGGTGGGTGAGGAGGAGGAAGTCGCATTGGGGTGTTCACGAGTCCACAGAAACCGGGGAGCTGGTGGCTCTGGCTGGATGAAGAGAGACGGCAAAACCTGGTGGTGGCTGCCCATTGTTTGGGCACGTTCAGCTCCTCTTCAGCCCTGCGTGGGAGGAACCGTCTGGGGAGGCTGTGGAGCCCCTGAGTGGTTGCTTTGGGTGGGAAGCGTGTGTGAGCCTTGTGTGGCTTCCTACAGCCTTTGAGTGTGGGAGCAGGAGGGGCTGGAGGGTGAGGGTCCTGGTGAGACCCTCCTGCTGTCCCTTCCCGTGA